TATATCAAGTTTCTCAGAGCCTTGACTTTGAAATCCTGCTGTTCTAGCCCCCAAATGCTGGGGTTTCCAGCCTGCACCGTCACACCCAGCAGCTTTGATCAATGCTTTCTTGTGTTTCTTTTGTTGATTTCCACACTGGGGATTGGACCCAGAGCCTCAAACATGCTAGGCAAACTCTCTGCTCTTGAGTTCCATTCCTCATCTTCTTTTGACTTTTCATTTTGAGGAAGTCTCACCAAGTTTCCCAGGCTAGACTTGAACTCACTTTGTAGCCTAGACAGGCCTTGAACTTGCCATCCTCCCCCACCTTGTCTCCTGAGTAACAAATTTATCAGCATACTGGAGCCAGGCTCCCTTTCATCAGTCTCTTCCTCTCATCCTGAGGTCTGTACCTAGGCCCATGCTTCTTAGGCTCAAGCAACCTTCTGTTCTTACTTTTTGCTTTGTTTTTCTAGACAGGGTTTTTCTGTGTGTAACCCTGGCTGTCCTGGAGCTCGCTCTGTAGACCGGGTTAGACTCAAACTCACAGAGATCCACCTGTCTCCCAAGAACTGGGATTAAAGGCTTGGGCCACCACCACTTACTTTTATATCCTAGGTATACATTTTATTTTACTCTGTCTATCCTCTCTCTTTCTCCATCCATCCTTCCTTCCATCTACCTATCTATCTATCCATCCATCCGGGTGATTATGTATATATTTATGTGTGACTGTGGTGTAAACTCATGCCTCTGTGTGTGTGTGTGTGTGTGTGTGTGAGAGAGAGAGAGAGAGAGAGAGAGAGAGAGAGAGAGAGAGAGAGAATGCCTTATTCCCTTGAAACAGAGCTTGGAGCTAGGCCGGCAGGCAGTGAACCCCAGCAGTCTTACGGTCTCCATCATGACTCTCCACAGTGCTGTGGTCACAGGTAAATACATCACCAAGCCTGACTTTTACCAGGGTGCTGGGACCCTGACTCAGTCCTTCTCACTTGTGCAAGTGGTCTCATTCCCATGCCATCTCTCCGATCCACGCACACGGCATTGTGCTCTCACTCCCTCTGCAGTACACACACACACACACACACACACAGCATTGGAATCTGGAAAACAGAAACTAGGTTTTGTTGTCCGAGTGAGGGAGAAGCAAGCAGAAACTGGTCCTATAGCAGGCTTGTGGGAAGGATTCAGGTAATACCGAGATGGAAACTCAACCAGGAGGCTCACAGCCTGTGGGATCCGGCAGAGGAATAGTGTCTGGCTGGGCTAAGAGGGTTTGGTTTCATTGGAATCCAGTTTTGTTTTGTTTTGAGACGTGGAATGTTTTGTCTGGCTAACTCCTGCCCAGAGACGGGAATTGATGTGGGCACCCTTTCTGGGCTAACATATGACTCACAGGGTTCAGCTCCTTCCATCAAGGAAACTCCCCTACCCTCAGGGCTGGGGAACTATGCGGAAGAGGACCTGGAAAGATTGTACAAGCCAGAGGGGGTGAAAGACACCAAGGAAACAGTGACTTCCGGACACAAAAGGGCTGATCCACATATGAACTCAGAGACTGGCTGCATGCCTAGGGCCTGCCCAGGTTCAAACCAGATGGGATCCCAGTTCTGAGAGGGAAAAGTGGGCGCCGGTTCCCACCCCTAACCAAACTGACATCTGCTCACAAAGGAAAATTAGCTTTTCTCCAATGTGGTCTCTCTGGTTCTGTTAACCACAGTTAAGGGTGGGCCCCATGTCCAGCAGTAGACGGCCAACACAGGGTATTTCTGTAGACATTTTTTCTCATATAGTTTTGTTTGGACATTTTTTTTTGTCTCACTGGTGTTTTGTTTGTACATTACAGTTACTGATTTCGTGTTTTTATGAATTTTTATGTGTATTTTGTTGGTCTCACCCCACCCCCACCACACACATATCAAAGCAGGTGCTGTCCCCAGTCTTTTCAGCATTGCCAGTACCTGGCTGGCATACCCTGTGCCCTTTTCTCCAGCCCCGGTCTGCCCCCCCCCCCATTCCTATGTAACCCCAGCCATTCTGGCTACACTGGTCCCTTTGCCTCTTTGATCTTGGGTTCCCAGGTACTCTCTTTGCCTCTTGGCCACTTGGTCTGAGGCTCCTCCTTTAGCCCTCCTCTCCTGTCTCTCTTCACTTCTCCCTCCCTCTTCCGCTTTCTCCCACAAGGCCCCTTTCAGTCTGGACCCTTCCAGATGCCTCTGGCTGTTTCCCTCCTATCTACAATAAACCTCTACTATTACCTAGGGGCATTCATGTCCTCCTTTTAAAGTTTTTCTCATATTATTGTTATTTTTACTATTATTGCTCAGTTATCTGGTTGTTCCCTAAAGAGAGAGAGAGAGTGAAGAGTTATGGGGGGGGGGGAGATCTGGGAGCAGTTGGGGGAAGGGAAACCTTGATGAGAATACATTGTATGAAAACTTTTTAAAAATTTTTTATATGTGTTGGTGTTTTGCCTGAATGTTATGTCTGCATGAGGGTGTCAGAGCCACTGGAATTGGAGTCACAGATAGTTGTGAGCTGCCACGTAGATACTGGGAATTGAACCTGTGTCAATGTTCTTAACTGCTGGGTTATCTTTCCAGTTTGGAACTTACTTTTTTGTTTTTTGTTTTGGCTTTTTTGAGACAGGGGTTCTCTGTAGCTTTGGAGCCTGTCCTGGAACTAGCTCTGTAGACCAGGCTGGTCTCGAACTCCCAGAGATCCTCCTGCCTCTGCCTCCCACGTGCTGGGATTAAAGGCGTGAGCCACCACCACCCGGCTTTTACTTTCTTCAATAATTTAAAAAAAAAAAGTAAAAAAATTCCATTTCACATGTTTCTTTTCTTCTTTTGGTTTTCGAGACAGGCTTTCTCTGTGTATCCCTGGTTATCCTGGAACTCACTCTGTAGACCAGGCTGGCCTTGAACTCAGAGATCTGCCTACTTCTGCCTCCCAAGTGCTGGGATTAAATGTGTGTGCCACCACTGCCCGGCCATATTTCTTTTTTTTTTTTAGTATTTATTTATTATGTATACAATATTCTGTCTGTGTGTATGTCTGCAGGGCAGAAGAGGGAACCAGACCTCATTACAGATGGTTGTGAACCACCATGTGGTTGCCGGGAATTGAACTCAGGACCTTTGGAAGAGCAGGCAATGCTCCTAACCACTGAGCCATCTCTCCAGCCCCCGGCCATATTTCTTATTTGAACTTAAAATTAATACAAATCCTTATCAAGTTCATTCTTGAGACCTGGCGTGCTGGTGTGTGTACACTAGTAGTCACTGCTGCCCAGAAAGCTGACGTAAGAGGATTTCAACCCAGGACATTCACTTCCACCTGAGCAGCATAATGAGATCTAGTCTTTAGAAAGACAAAGAATGTTCTAAGCTTGGCACGCTGGCACCTGCCTGTCTGTAATACTAACACAGAGAAGGCCAGTGTGGACTGAAAAATATTTAATATTTACCTCATACTTACATTCGTACTGGCTGGATATGGTGATGCACACCTTTGACCCCGACACTCAGGAGGCGGAGACCAGTAAGTTCAACACCAGGCTGATCTACAGAACAAGTTCTAAACCCGCCACAGCTCAGTAAGACTGGGAGGCACAGATGCCTGTTTATTTCCTTATGCCCTCCACACCAGAATATTATTTTATGTAAAACTGAAAAGCCACATTTATATATTGTGTATGTGTGTGTGTACGGGGGTGTGAAGGTCAGAGGACAGTTGTTCCCTCCTGACTCTAAGAACCCCTGAACTCAGGCCGTCCCGTTTGTCGTCAGCGCCTCACTCACTGAGTTGTCTTGCCAGCCCACAATATGTTGTTTTATCTAAATTCCTCTTCTTCCACTCTTCTTTTGGCCACACTGAGGGCGTCGTCCGGGAAACCATGGGAAACTGTGACTGACGCTTATGCTGTTCACAGCGGGCGCAGGACCTTTCCAGGCGGTATGCCACTGGCGCCTCTCGCCAGCCAAGCTTGACAGGGTTACCCTCTGCTAACAGGGGAACTGAAGCAATCAGGGAGGGCAAGGGACATGTCCAAGGCCACACAGCAGACACTGGGTCTCAGTTGACTTGTTGAGTTTGTAATCTCAGTATTTGGGATGTCGAGGCAAGAGAATTGCATGTTCAAGGGTCAGACTGGGCTATATAGCAGTACTCTGTCAGAAAGAGGAGCCAAGGCAGGTGGATCGGGGTCAGAGTGTTGAACCCGGGGTATTTGTTGTCTCTACCAGCTAAATAGCCCCCATCTCCTCGGATAAAGGGGACATCCCTAGGGACTCTATTGAAGTACAGTACAGGGACTGTCCATAAAAATAGAAGCCTTGGGTGTGACAGGATAGGAACTGCTGACCTGGCTTGAAGCGTGGCAGTGGTCCCTCCTCTCTCCTTTTTAAATATGTAGGCTGCCACCAAGTCATGAATCTGAACCAAACTAGAGTGGTGTGTGTGAGGGACCATGTGTGGCCATGACCCAGGCCCCGGCAGGGCCTGTGTGTGAGGGCGAAATGATAAGAAGTGGTCCATCTGGGCCTTCTGCTCTCCCTGGCTAACATCCCAAAGACTGTTTGTGCCCAGATCCTATCTGCGCCCTCCTCCCCCAAAGGCAGGAGTCTTCCCTGTGGAAAAACACAGCTGGGCCTGGGTGAGCCCTGTGAGGGAGGAGGAGGGGGGAAGGAGTGTCTCTGCCCAGGATTGGGTGTCTATGGGCCCAGTTCTGGGAAAGGGCCAGATTGCATCAGACAGGACTTGGAGGGCGGGAGCCAGTCTGTGGTCTGAGGAGGAGGCAACTTCATAAGTAAGGGCGAGGGAACTGAGAGAGGGCAGACAGCTGGAAAACACGACACAGGCAAGACTTTGGAGAAAGCAGACCAGGCATGACGGCCACCTTGCCACCGACAACCAGCCCTTCCCGGCCACCCCTAGACCCAGAGGACGACGATGACATCCTGGACGAGTGCGACCATTACAGCCTGACCCACTCTTACGTCGGTAAGGCCGCTCAGCAGCTCTCTGACTTCTCCTCCTCCTCCTCAGATTTGGAGATTCTTTCCCAGATTGCCCTCTCTAACTAATCTATTCCCTACCCCAAAGTAACCCCATTCTAGCCTCATCTACCAAGTTCTGTCTTCCACAGCCCTGAGAACTCACATCCGGGCATTTCCATTCTGTGCATGAGGAAACTGTTAGCAGGCATAAATGCCCCAGACTTACACAGTGACCAGCGCCCTCTGGCTGGTCTGCCCTTCCTACCCCTATGCTCTGGTCCTTTGTTCTCTGACCCTCACACTTCCCCTCTGCCTGTGTCCCTCCACCTCCTGCTCTACCAGCAGGGGGAGCTCGGAAAGGTCGTACCAAGAGAGAAGCTGCTGCCCACACCAACCGCCCGAGCCCTGGTGGACATGAGAGGAAGCTGCTGACCAAGTTCCAGAATTCTGAAAGGAAAAAGGCCTGGCGCTGAGGCACAGCTGGAGGTGAGGAGTCAGAGCCAGAGAGCCGGAAGTGGGGAATCAAGAGTAGTCCCTGGGTTGGTGAGATGGCTCAACCTGCTGCCCAGCCTGGCCCCCTGTGCTTGATATCCGGGACCCACATGATGAAAGGGGAGAGTCAATTGGAAGTTGTCCTTTTAGGGGGACCCTGCAGGTGTTCTACAGGGAAGTGAAGCTGAGAAGAGACGAGAATGAGAACATGGTACAGACTGACTTCACCAGCCTAATGCCAGGCGGTTCCTTGTCGGCATATTTAAAACACAGTACAGTGTGGGAAAAGGTTTCCAGGCAACAACCAGGCCAGGTCCAGGTGCACAATAAAGCTCAAGGTGTGACTACATAGAGACTCTCTTAACCTCATGTGCCTACGAGGGTGGGCTCTGAGGCTAAAAGGCCTAGAATATAGTGTGGTCTTGGACTGATAGCATAGGGATCAGAGATTTCTCCCCTAAGGATGGGATGGACCAGGGAGGGAAGAGTCCAGGATAATCATTCTAGGGAATTTGGGTGCGGTCTGCCTCTATAACAAAAGGAGGGTGCGGTCTGCCTCCAGGGATAGCAAAAGGAGGGTGTGGTCTGCCCCCACGGATAGTAAAAGGAGGGTGTGGTCTGCCCCCACGGATAGTAAAAGGATCACCAGGTCATTAATAAGATCCACTCTCAGCTTTCTGGATGGAATGCAGAAATTTGATTTTATCTTCTCCACTGAGGAGACAACCCTGCATGATTAACATTTGTGGTTCTCTTGGTGTTTCTCTGTGAGTACAAAGACCACGCCCGCAGCAACCTGACCTCCACATGCTCACAGTGCCCCAAGCGCATGAGAAGACACGCATGCACACACATACGCGTGCACATCCACCTACCAATAAACAAAAAAAAGTAATAGTGTGTCATCTACAGTGAGAATAAAATGAGACCCATATTTGAGTTCCCTGGTGACCAGTGTTGGGGACAGTTTCCCGTAGAGCCTCTCTAATTGGAAGGAAATTTGGCTTAAAGCATGGGAAACTGAAGCTCGACAGAGTCAAGTACTTCTCTGGGGTTACAGAAAAAAAAAAGAATAGGAAAGCCAGAATTCAAACCTGGGTCTCCGCCCCTTCCACCACCTGCTTTCCCTCCTCACAGATGAGGCCAGACCATGGATGTTACAGCCAGCAATGGACACAGGACAACCACACCCAGCAATGGATACAGGACCCTGGAGAAATTAGGAGATACAGGCAGGACCAAGGCCTGCTTGGCTCTTTCCCACCTAAGTGAGGTTCTGGAGAGAGGCCACCAAAAGAGCCCTTCCAGACCCAGCAAAAGGGAAAGATAGGAGCAAAAAGCAGGGGAAGGATGGGGGAGCTAGCACCCCCAAAAAGAAATGTGAGAGAAACCAGATGCCCCCGGAGGCAGCAACAATAAATAGAGCAGTAGTGGCAGCTTTCCTGTGTGTTTCCTGCTGTCTTTGTTGTGTCTGACTGTGCCCATGGTGCGTCTCTCTCGGGAGTATTATTAGAATGGCAGATTCCACACTATGTAGGACTGGAGACTGCAAGCAGGTTCCTGATGTGGTCGCCCTTCTGTAATATATGCAGATTTTTTGGGTGCCTATTTCTGTGGTCTCTTTTGGGGAAATTGCTTTATTTCTTTGCATTGCTACCCCCAGAGACAAACTGTAGTCAGCCCCTTGACATTCCTGAACAGGATGAGGTCATATTTATATAAAACTGCTTTTTGAAGAGAATGTTACTATTAATACCATTTGCAAAATGAAATAATAAACAACCGGAGTTTAAAACATGGAATCCCAACATGTGGGAGGCAGATGAATCTCTGTTCGTGGCCAGCCTGGTCTACACAGAGAGAGTTCCAGGATAACCAGGGCTACTACACAAAGAGAGCTTGTCTCCAAAACAAAACAAAACAAAAAACTGAAAACAAACAAACAAACAAAAAAACATGGGGAGGATTTGTTTTCAGCGACTGAGGGCTCAAACCCAAGCAAGGAATGCCTGGGACAGGGTGCTGGGTCAACTGGGGAGCAGGTTCTTGGTGGGTCTCAGGACCAGAGTTCCAGAAGAGTGTGGAGCAAAGGAGAAGATGGTCGGGACCAAGGGTGAAGGTGACGGAGGCCTGAGTTTGGGCAGCTGCAGTGACGCTCGGACAAACAAGGCAGAAAGTTCTTCTCTCACACGTGATAGCTCCAAGAGTAAATATTCCTAAATTGCAGATGGCAGCTCTGTTGATCGGGGCCCGCTACTTTTAGCTTGTTACTCTGCTATACTCCACACATTTCTACTCTGAAGTCCCAAATAATAGCCGCTCCAGCCCCAAATGCCGCTCCAGCCCCGCGCCGCTCCAGCCCCGCGCCGCTCCAGCCCCGCGCCGCTCCAGCCCCGAGCTCACATCTGCGCCTCAGCCTGTGGAAAGGCAGGCAGGATAGAGATTAGAAAAGGCCACACAGCACTTTGTCCTTTCTGAGACAGAGGATCTCTTTCTCAGGCTGATCTCAAACTCCTGGACTTGAGTGGTCCTCCAGCCTCGACTCCCTGAGTGCTGGGATGCTAGGTATACGCCATGACTCCCAGTCTGCCTACTCATTTTCAAGGGCACCGTTTGAAAGTGGAACATCCAGTGCTTGCTCATAATTTAGTCACATGCGGCTCCCAACTCTAAGAGAAGCCAGGAAGGCCATACTCAGCGGCTCAGCCAGGCGCTAACCCGAGCTTGGGTGAAGGCGGGGTTTGTTAGAGGAAGAAGAGGTAGAATACTGGAAGGGGTGAGTAAGAAGAGTAGCTTACACCCAGTTCCAGCTGAAGTGGGAGGGAAGAGCCCTAGCTCCAACCTGGCCTGGCCGTTGACTCCTCCACAGAAACCCTACTTGTCCGGCTTGGAAGCCATTGCAGTTAGGTAGGGCCAGGGGCTAGGGTGCCTGCTGACTCAATGACGTGACCTCAGACTGGGACCCAGTAGGAATTCTCAGGAACCATATTCAGTCACCTTCTGAGTCCAACAACACAGTCTCTCCTGGAATCTGTAGCTGGGAACATTAAAAAATAATAAAATAAAAATAAAAACAAAACTTTCTGGCCTGGTTGGGCATGGTGGCATACATCTCTAGTCCCTACACTCAGAGGACAGAGGCAGGCAGAGCTTTGTGAGTTCAAGGCCAGCCTGATTTACATAGTGAGTTCCAGGCCTACCAGGGTTCTATCATGACAACCTGGCTTTTTTTTTTTTTTTTTAATAGTGTTGACTGTGCTGGAATTATGTAGCCCAGTCAGGCCTTGAATCCATAGAGATCTACCTGTCCCTGGCTCTGTCCAGTGCTGGGATGAAAAGCATGTGTCACCATGCCTAGCCCAGATCGCTCACTGATTTATCACTTGCTAGCTGCCTGTCATTTCACCAGGACGGGCCTGAAGCACTGATGGTGCTACCGCAGCTCCAGAAGAGCACAGTTGGTGGCAGCCCCCTCTGGGCAGCATGCTGGCAGCATGTGTCTATCTGGATGTCGACTTCAGAAACTACAGCAACAGCTCCTGTGTTTCAGGCTGCTGCCCTGGTACAGGTTTTGCTCATTTGTTTGTTTGTGGGGTTTATTTTCTTCTGGACATCAGAGGCAGGGCTGCATGCTGAGAAGGCAGTCTGCGCTGGGACTGGACTTCACAGGAGTCCTCCACGTAATCCTTATAGTAGAACATATTATCAGTGCTCCCATTTTTCCAAACGGAAATCCAAGGCTCAGAGAATTCCGACTTCGCTTTTTAAGTGTATACTATATTATATTGTACTTCACAATGCACTTAAGAGTCAAGCAACTTCAACTAGTGGGGCATGAGACTATGAGCTCTCTATCCGATTCCTAACCCTTGACCTTTTTCCTTTTTATGGTATGCTTAAGAAACACAGAGTCGGGGGTTGGAGAGGTGGCTCAGAGGTTAAGAGCACTGGCTGCTCTTCCAGAGGTCCTGAGTTCAATCCCATCAACCGCATGGTGGCTCACAACCATCTGTAATGAGATCTGGTGCCTTCATCTGTCATACAGACAGAACACTGTATACATAATAAATAAATACAAGAAAAAGAAACATGGAGTCCTGACAATGAGAGACCCTAGATTGTAGATCTAAGGATAGGTCTCCTCACCCATCAAAGCGTGAGCACAACGTCCCTTCTGTTAAGGAGAAAATGAAGGTCCCAGCCAGTCCTAGCTTCCGGGCCTTTTAGCGCCTTCTTCTCAGGAGACACACACATCCCCCTTACTCTTGGCCCTGGCTGGGAGCCCCCTGCCTCCACTGCCCTGGCACAGTCTCTGCCTGGGAGGCCTTTCCAGGCTGTCCTAGGAACTGTAACGGCAGTTCTTGAAACCTCAGATATCCTAGATCAGGGAGGGCCCTGAGCAGAGTGTCCCCCTTCCCCACCCCTCCTTTTTACCCTTTCTTCTGGTTGCATATAATGTCTATCCCCCCCCCCAATTTTGGGGATTCCTCATTAGAACTAGAGAAATCACTGACCTCTTTCCCTTCAGGGCCTTCCAGAAACTTCTCTGAGATTTCTATAACTGAAAGGCTTCCCAGCCCCTTGCAGAGAATTGAGAAACTCACTAATTTTCCCTTTTAGTTTTTCTACAACCAACCCTTTCTCAAAAGTCAGCTCACAATACATTATATACATACATGCATTCATATATACATATCTATTTAAATTTCAGGATGACTCATAGTTAATTTTCAACTAGTACTTCTTGAAGATAATGCTAGTCAGAGTCATAGCTGTAGCCACCACTATGTTGGGTGCCTCAGGGCTTCCCCAGCGTCATCTCTCACACCATTCCTTCCAGTTCCGCCCCACGGGACACTTGTGCTGTATTGTATTTACTTAGCATTGAAAAAAATCACCCCTTTACCTTTTTTACTCAAATGCATTTAAAAAGGAAACTGTAAGCATCCTAAAGAGGAGCCACAGTGAAGCATCATAAGCACAAATTAACTCTGGCCAAGTATGGGGCTTAAAATTGTGATCCCAGCCCTTGGGAGACTGAGGCAAGAGGACCGCAGTCTCAAAACACAAAACAAACAAATGCAGCTTAACTGTAAAATTGTCTTCTCTAAGAAGTTCATCTTAACTGGGCATGGTGGTTCCTGACTTTAATCCCAATCCTCGGGAGGAAAAAGCAGGCAGATCTCTTTGAGTTGAGTTCCAGCTAGCCAGGGCTCCACAGTGTGAGTCTCTTGTCTTTGAAGAGAGAGCGCGAGTTCATGTTTTCCTGCCATGACGGAAAGTCACGATCGTGCACTTTGGGAAGCACACGGTGTGTGGTGCTGGCAGCACAAGACAAACACGCCCGGTGTCCTCCTGCTGCTCCCCATTTTATTAGACAAAGAGAGCAAGCCCAGGGCTTCAGGCATGCTGTGCCGACTGAGCCACATCCCTAACTCTGCATTTTAAACTTTAAAAAATTACTTTACTCCATCCATCTATCTGTATGTCTGTCTGTTCGTCCGTCCATCCATCTGTTCTGTCCATCCATCTATCCATCCATCCATCTAGCTTCTAGCTATCTACCTACATATCTATCTATTTATGGGGGCGTGGTACATAATACAAGTGTAGACAACTTGCAGAACTCAGTTCTTGCCTTCCACCAAGTGGGTCCTGGGGATTGAACTCGGATTGTCAGGATTGGTGGGGAGCACCTTCACCTGCTGAGTCATTTTGCTGCCTCTTCCCCATTTTTTTATTTTATTTATTTATCCGTTTTTCTGGACAGGGTTTCTCTGTGTAACAGACCTGGCTGTACTGGAACTCACAGAGATCCTCCTGCCTCTGCCTCCCGAGTTCTGGGCTTAAAGACATGTGCCACCGGTGGCGCACGCCTTTAATCCCAGCATTCGGGAGGCAGAGGCAGGCAGATCTCTGTGAGTTCGAGACCAGCCTGGTCTACAGAGCTAGTTCCAGGACAGGCTCCAAAAGCCACAGAGGAAAAAAAAAAAAAAAAAAGACATGTGCCACCATGCTGAGCTTTCTCTCCGTTTTTGACATCACATCTATCTATCTATCTGTCTGTCTGTCTGTCTGTCTCTCTCTCTATCTGTCTGTCTATCTATCTATCTATCTATCTATCTATCTATCTATCTATCTGATGTGTGGAGAAGTTATGTGTATTACAATACGCATGCACAAGTCAGAGGACAAACTGTGGGAGATAGAAGTCAATTCAGCTCAGTTCCTCGGGCTTTGAAGCAAGTGTTTTCACCTTTGGAACCATCTCACTGGACCTATTTTATTATATATTTTTAAGTATTTGTTTTTATTTTTACGTGGATGGATTTCTGCCTACATGTATGTTTGGACACACATGTATGCAGTGCCCACTGAGGCCAGAAGATCACCTGGAACTGCGGTTATAGATGGTTTTGAGCTGCCTTGTGGATGC